CGTCAGGAAATTTTAAGTGGCGTTTTGCGATCTCACAGATCTATATTTCTAATGACGCAGCACACCTAAGTGTACGATATCATTATTGGGAATATAATTAAGCTTCAAGTAACGCCGCATTAAAATCGCATCAACATTACATACAGAGTTCTCTTATATTAGACCGAAGTATTTTTCGGTTCTCGTTTCACGGTTTTTCAAGGGAAAGAATATTTCGGAAGTTTTGACGCAGTAAAAAAACACGACTAAAATTATTCTCGGCCTAGTAACGCAGCGAAGCGGCTAATCTCCTTCACGAACGGTATCACAGCGTTTCCATGAAAATGAAAACGTCTTGTAGATGCAGCGACTCGTTTGCAAGTTTCCTTAATTAAATCGAGGTAAATGGACCAGCGTCGATGTGTTGGCAGCTGTTCGAAACCGCAGAAGAAGGTTCCGGTACGCTGATGTCGACAGTGTAATACGTATACACCATTATTCAAAAGTAGAGTCTCAAAAGTCTGAAAATCAAATAAGGCACAGTAGGAAACTTTCACGCGGAGAATGGGATACTGCTTCCGTAGGGAGAATCCTATTTTCCATTACGATTATCACCACGTTCAACGGACATTTGTCAAACGTCAAACTGGCACGGTTTCAGCGTTAGCAAAGCGACAAGAAGCGAACGCTAAGAGGAGAGGCTCGATCAATTAACAATGAAAAGGAGCGCGGCGAGTGGAAAGGCGCGCGAGCCTCGTGCGAACGCGCGCGGATTTCACAATAACTTGTCAACGTAAGCGAGCGTATTAGACGCAGAGTTCTGAATCGATCGTCGTATCTTGCGCAACCGACGGATTGTTTGATACACGCAATGTGTGTGCATAGATCCGGTCAGCACACGTTGCGTTCATTCGATCGGAGTGCGTTGACTTGGCCCCAGGCTCGTGTCTCCACGCTCGAGCGAGCTTCCCACCTCGTTTCTCGCTTTTTCTGCGCGTTCAGTTTTCGGCCGTGCTTTCAATCGCCTCGTGAATTTCCTTGCATCTCGAGTACACCAAAATTCCATTTATCTGATTTCGTCGAGCCCGTAAAGGGAGAACTCGCAAATGGTGAATTTTTTGAGATTTAATTCAAGGGCAGTGTCGGCAATTACACCGCGGAGATAACACTGTGCGCGTACGATTTATTATCAGAGGTCGATGGTGCTCCGGTGTAATGGAACAGACGACTGTATTTGTATACGTTGGTATAGCTACAGCGATTGTGCTGAACTTTCGAATGACGGTGGGAATTTTCGTTGACGTAGCGATTTTTGACACGTGGGAATTTTACGCGCCAAGATAACGACTGATGGATGTGCAGATGTGTACGGGTGATAGGGTGGTTCGTGAGACGCCAGTCTATTCATTATATTTCCTACCACGCTTTGGTTTTTACTTTTGCTTGGTGAAGTTTGTACGTTAAGGATAGAGCATCGAATGGCAGACTGAATTCGTGATTTATTAGTTATGTATTCACATTGCACGCTTTTATTCCTGAGCAGAATTTTCTACCTGTACTATCAAGATATTTTGTAGCACAACTTTTTCCTTGGAGATTTTACATGCAAAAGTGCCAATTCATTTCGACCGAGAAAGAATATGAAGCTTAACAAATTATGTTAGCTGCGTTTGTCTTATACGATAAGCAAGCAATTCGTAAAAATATTTTAATATTGAGATAATATAATAGGAAAATTACAATATTATAATGATATTAATAAGTAAAGCAATTCATGAATGAGATGAAAAGTATCTATAATTTTGTTAATTATCTTTCGACGAAAGTAACATTGTGCTTATAATTCTAAACGTTCAATCATCCATCGATTGTGGGAACGTGCGAGTTAGGAAACAGAAGAATTCCCGTGAAATGTGTTACCTCTTCTAAACGTTTCTCTAAAATCTCTAAAAATACCGTCTACGTATATATTTTGAGGAAGTTTGCACAAAGCGAATATGACGTAAACGTTAGTTTCTTCGAAAGACATTTAAACTCGTTTCCACCGGAACAAGTATGCGTAGAAACAACAAAACACCGTTTTACAAACGACTAACCCGTTTCATTCTAGAAATGAAACGGACTCGTATGCAAATTCAACGCGATTGAATATTCTCTGTGCACGCACACGTACAGAAAATCAAAAAAAGAAGAAGCCGAACGTTGCAATCGCCGTGTTAAACAGGTAATTAATTGTTGTTAATAACGTGACCAGTTGCATAGTGGATGCACACAGCGCCCGTTAGACGCGATAAAGAGTATAAATCAAACGTTGCATTCCGGTGTTGCGATTTCTTGTCCATTTTTTTAGGATTAACCGTGAACTCAGTGCCACGAGTTCGGTTGAAAGCGGCGGACATTTACGTAATATACGACTCGGGTTGCTGTAACAGTTCTACTGAATAATCGAGTAACAGTGTCGCTGTTACGTCTGACGGAATTAATGAGTCCTTGATACCATGACGATTTCGTGGGAAGAGAATCTTACACGGTTCATAGAACGTGTAACTTGCTGCGATCTTAGCTTTGATTTTTTATTGAGAAAATATATATTGCACTTGTCAAGAAGAATACCTGTTCGCTCCTTAATTCTGCTCTTACTATAAAAACATATCCAATATCAGGGGTAAATACTTAATCGCACATTGTTTTTCCTGGTATGTGAACTTCTCAGTGGTTACATCGATCAATTCCATGTTGTACGAAGTTTCCAAATTCGTTATCTAGATATATAAATAATATTAAATATTTAAAAAATAAAGAATGTATTTTCATGGATTCATTTACCATAAGGAAGTAGCATAGATAGCTGCAAATTCCATCTGCTCTCTTCTACGTCTTACAAATAACTTTTACAAATTCCTAGATCGTTGTTCTGCATAAACACAAGATTTCGCTCGATTACTTTTCTCCTTTGATAATTTAGATCTCAATCGATCGGTCGCATCAATTATCATTCTTTGTTCTAATACTTACGAATAGTGGATATATCATAATTTGCCTTAATCCTCCTGCAGTCCTCGACAAACAGAAGGATTTTTAATGTTCTAAGAAAACACCTAACGAAACTTCTAATGGCCCGAAACTGAGCCAAGAAACATAGCAGGGTCGGATTAGTTCGTAGCGAATCTTAACGGTTCCTAAACGTTTCTAACGATTTCTTAACAACGACCTCGAGTATATAATTCCGCGTTAGTGCCGATGTCAAGCGATTCTCAATCATCCTCGATGCCTTCTCGACCGAACCGTTCGGTGAG